TAAGTCACAACCACAACTGAGCCGCAGACAGGCCAGGTGGTCAGAAATCTTACAACAGTTTGACTTTGACTGGGAATACCGCCCAGGGCGAAAGAATGTGGCTGATCCACTCTCTCGCATTCCTCCATCGCCCGATGAGTAGGAGGCTAAGAGGAAAAGTCAACTAGTTGTATGTGGCTTAAGAGTAAAGCATAAGCGGGGCAGCCAAAAAGAGGCAACTGAAACGGTAGAGGCCAAAGATCTAGCTTCCAGGATCCGTCAGGCCTATGGCGAGGATCCCCAGCTTACGTCTGTTAGACAGCAGCAAGATATGCGCTGTACAGACGGGTTGTGGCTGCGAGGCACTCAGGTGTATATCCCTGAGTCTCCCAGTCTGCGGACTGAGATCTGCCAGTTGGCTCATGACCATCCAAGTGCTGGGCACTTTGGTCAAGCTAAGACCCTAGACTTGGTCCAGCGGCATTACTGGTGGCCAGGAATGCAACGAGAAGTACACCAGTACGTCGATACTTGCCTGGTTTGTCAACAGGCTAAGTACCCTCGTCATAAGACCCCAGGCTTATTACAGCCACTGGGCATTCTTGAGGAGCCATGGACAGAGTTGTCCATGGACTTCATTACACAACTGCCAAAAACTAAGGGAGGTCATGATGCTATCGTCGTGTTCGTCGATAGACTGACCAAAATGGTCCGCCTTGCAGCTACGACCACCGAGCTCTCCGCAGAAGGAGCAACTGACCTGTTGGTGCAGAATGTGATAAGGCACCACGGCCTCCCCTCTCAAATAGTGTCCGACAGAGACGTTCGGTTCACTTCCAGGTTTTACCGGTACCTGGCCGAGAGGTGGAAGATCCAGCTCAACATGAGCACTGCGTACCATCCACAGACGGATGGCCAGACCGAAGTCATGAATCGGGTTCTGGAGGATTACTTGCGCAGTTATACGCGTTCTGACCATGACGCGTGGGATGAACTGTTAGCCATGGCCGAGTTTGCAATGAACAACTCGAAAAACAGTTCCACCCAAGAAACCCCGTTCTATCTGAATTACGGGAGGCACCCAAAGAGTCCCTTAGCTCTTGGTGTGCAAATTCGGAAGCCATTAAAGGGCTATGACAATCCGAATGCCAGCGGCTTGGCAGTGGCCATTGAAAGGGCGCAGCAGCCTTATTTGAGGCAGTCTGGTACACCCCTCGTGGAGGGATTACCAGCAGTGACACGATTTGATCACCGTGTCCAATCAGCGCTGAAAGAGGCCAGGGCGTGCTTAGAGAAAGCATGAGATAGGCAGTCAAAGCATGCTGACCGCCATCGAAGAGAGGTGTCGTTTAGTAAAGGAGATGACGTCCTCCTTTCGACACAGCATATTACTCTCAAACACCCTGGGACTTGAAAACTATTACCGAGGTGGATTGGGCCCTTCACCATCCTCGACCGGATAGGTTCTGTCGCATATCGACTAGAACTCCCGGAAAGCATGCATAGGATACATCCAGTATTTCATGTATCGAAGATTAAGCCTTATAAGGCAAGTGGCAGAGTACAGCCACCCCCAGTACCTATCGAGATCGAAGGTGAACTGGAGTATGAAGTTGAACGTATCCTTGATAAAAGGATTAAAAAGCGTGGGAGACGCAAAAACTATGTTGAGTACCTTGTCAAATGGCTGGGATATGGACATGAGCATAACAGCTGGGAATCAGCAAAGTCAGTTGCAAATGCACAGGAATTGGTTCAAGCATTTGAAAATGGCAGAACACCTGTGATGCGAATGCAAACTGCATGAAGTACGGGATGTACATACTGAAACATGCTCATGTGTGCTTATGCTTTTGACAGGTTCTCTTGCGCTGGGCCCAGAAAAACACTGGGTATACTGCCCCCCGTGCGAGGACACAGTTCGCCCACATGAACGCCATGTCAGTGAACATCCTCAACGGGGAGAGGTTGGACACCGCCGACCCCTACGTGCCATTTCCCCGTGCGCCTGAGCGTGCACGCGGACGTGGGCGACGGCGGGGTGCCGCACCGGGCCGATCTGGACCGGCGTGGGCTTTTGGTGGTACTCGGCATCGTGGTCGCCGATGAAAGGCCGGGAGGTCAAACATTTCCAGCCACTTGGCTGAGGAAGAGTTTTAATGAGGGTTGTAAAGGCCGGGACGGTCATGTAAAACAACCACTCTTTCTCTTCATCCAAAATTGTTTTGTGTGTTATGTTTTGTTAACTGGGCATGTGGCAAATCGCACAGCCAGTTCCACCCACATACATACAATGTTTCTGCTCCCGTATTCACTTATATTGGGACGAGGACGCCCCTCTCCCTGAGGGGGACGAATGTTACGCGCACCAGCCTGATGTGGGAGACGTCCTACTAATGGCCCTTGGTGTGGGGGACGCCCTGCCCAAGGCACATACTATTCCTCACCCACTGTAACCTTTATCCATATTAGGATACGGGAGTAGGAGGGGTGGTCCCGCCTAGGTGCCCTGTAAGGACCTAGGTGCCCGGCGAGGCGGGTCCGCGGCTCAAAGAGGGCAAGAACCCCACACCCACATCCTATACGTAACACCTCTCTTGGGTGTGTTCGGTTGTCCGCGATAGTAGCTTGAGGGTCCCACTGCGCAGCGAAGCTGTATAAAGTACTACAAAAATGGTGACAAACCCAAAAAGGGGGCGCTATTGGGGGCCGGGGGCGCTATTAGGGGGGCGCTATATAGGGACCCCGACTGTACTACCTTTATTTTGTTCATTTCTTTCAAAGTGCAAGCCACCTTCTTGCTATCGCCATTGGTTGTGTGGTGCACATTTGTTCCTTGGCGGAAATCACAACTGTCATATCTTTCGCAATGTGATGCTTTTACTGCACGGATGGACGTTACCTATCCCATTTGTCAGTAAGAGTACACCAAACAATGTTGGGAGTTCACGAATTGGTCATCTTCAACACAATCCAATCCACCAAAACACAATTATCAGCAATTCGACATGATATGGACGATGAATCGAATCGCTGGAAATGGCTCATGCATCTGTGGGGATGGGGCGGTTAAACATCACTTTAAATGAGTGTGGGAACAATTGTGAACGAATGAGAGTGGGGCACATAATTAGTGGGGCAATTGGAGGGAGTTGCGGTAGAGGCTGTAGAGGAGGGAGTGAGGGAGATGGGTAGTGGGTAGGGACCCTAGGAGGGTCGGCGGGCAGACGGGTCCAGAGCGCTGGCCCAGAGGTTTGCGGTTGCTAAAGAGGGAAGAATTGGTATTAGTTGTGGGATTGGAACGAAAGGGGGAAAATCAATTGATTTTCCCTTGCAAGGGAATTCGGTGCAAATTGGTCAAGCCACAATAGCTGAGGCGGCCGGTGGAATGTTCTATCAAGTTGGCAGCCTTCGGACGGACTGGCTAGCCATATTCCATGCAAAATGCACGAGGTAGTTAGTATGTACAAAACACTTGTAAAGAGCTATGGGATTCATGCCAGAGGCACGGACGGCGAAGGCAAGGGGTAACCGACTGTGTGACTGCGCCACCGGGCACCCTCCGAGGTGCCGGCCAGCCGCGCTGCAATTCATTTGCACCGGCAAAACACATCACACTCTGTTCGGCTCACTGAGGAAGGTGCAACAGCCCCCATTACGTGACATGATGGATGCATCAAATGGGTCAGCATCATTTTCTTGTTTCGATTCTTGAACCACTAATCAGCCCCCCACCACCACGGAAATAATATTACTGGCTGCACCAAATCCGTGACTGCTTGGCCCAAGTCCCTCCAAAACTTACCTAACCCAAAACTTAGACCCTAAAATCTAAAACTAAACCTGTCCTAACCCTAACCCTAAAACTCACCCTGAAACTAAAGCTAACCCTAAAACTGAGGTTAGGACAAAGTGTGCACGTGTCTTGGTGCAAGCAGTCACCGATTTGGTGCAGGCAGTAATACTATCCCACCACCACGCGGGTTTGGCGTCCGTCCCATGCCCTTCAGCCTGCAGGAGGGCTCCCTCTTGGGCGCTGGCGCCTTGTCTGTCGCGGGCGCCTTCTTCTTCTACACGCGAAGGCAGACGCTGCCCTTCAAGGTGCGGCGACACCCGTCCAATTGTTGCAGCCCATTTCCCGCACTCTCCCATTTTGTTCTTCCCATGTGGGTTATTAGCGACTGGCATTCCCATCAGGGTTTCGGCCCTAGATCCTGGCTGTGGTGGGAGCATCACATCGTGTCAGGTTTCCTGCATGATGAGCAGGGCACCGAGCTAGTTGTGCGCTTTGCTCAGGAGGAATGGAAAATTGCTCAGTTGCCAATGGCACGTGCAAGGGCTTGTGTGGCTGCGCGATGCACTGCGGTTGTTGTGGAAGTGGTTGGGCCTCACGTTGCCAGTTGTAGCTCCCTGACCTTGAAGCGTGTTTGTTGCTTCTGCCAATGGTGATGGTTGTCTAACAGCAGTATTCCGTGGAATTTCGCTGCTGTTGAGCTCTGCTTTCCTCTGTGAGTGATGCAGGTGATGAAGGTAGCGCATGTGCCGTTTTTGAGATTCGGTGTCGTCACTGCGTGTTTGTGCATTTGCTGTTCTTGAGCATTTCGGTGTCCAATGCAGGTCGCCTATTTCCTCTCTTGGCCGCTATTGGGAACTGCGGCGATTCAATACTCATCAGCGAGGGTGCGCATGCCACTCTGCCATCAGAAGCCTGTTCTAAGAATTAGATCTCTTGCTGGCCTCGATGCTCCAGTAACCATTCCCAGTCTATTGGTTCTCAATATCTGTTTCAAGTGTGGATTTCAAGCCTTCATCCAGCTGCCTGTGTTGGATCTTGAAAGCGGACTAGCTTTGACATCGAACGCAGCAGCTGTATTGCATTGGTAGCCACTTCCCTTTCTGCACGCTCGTGCCTTGCTTTGAACTCTGAGTGAAGGAGAGAGAACGGACAAGTAGGGACACAAGGGGCCAATGGAATTGGTCCAGCAGGGATCCTTTGCCTATTCGAAGCTGAATGAGAAATATGCTCAGTCTGGGACAGCATTCTGGACCAAGCTGTGCCCTTTGTCTGTTCAAGAGCACAAGATGATGCTTTCTTGTGGACACTTTGGCAAAGTAGTCACATGGAGGAGCTTTTGTCCCTTGCAGGGAGGAGCTTTTGGACAGCTGCTCCAAATGAGGAGGGGGAGGGTGTTTGTGGATGGAACTGCCTGCTTTGTGTTTGTGATGCCCATTGTTGATGTGTTTCTGTTGATATTTGTGGATTTGTGGTTTCAATGTCCTCAAACAATGCCTCAACAATATCTCCACCATTCGTACACCTGCTGTTCAAGATTGCTGTGTTAGTATTGATCTCGACTCCGCACAGTGCCTATTCACGCTTGATGGTTAGTCAAAGATGAATAATGTGACACCTAACTTTCCTCTGTCCTGACAATGCACTGGGTGAGGTAAATCATGTAATAGATTAGCTGTTTCTGTTGAGACTATGTTCATCAATTTCCAGTACTGCTCAACAAAATTGACAGTGGCAGCTGCGTTGTGCTTGGTTTCTGCTTAATTGTGCTGTGGCTGCTGTTTCTGATAGAGCCTGCGCCATGCTGCTGAGTTCGATGAGAGGCGTGTGGCGGAGGCCAGGAAACTGGTTCCCTTGCAGATGGAAGCTTTGAGGGAAGCTGCAGGGAAGGGGAGAGGCTGAGCCACCAGCCATAGTGCCGTCGCTCAAGCACAGTAGTGTTGCTAAGTCGATCAATGACTGAGCAGGTATCATGTCTCGATCTCAGGCATTTTAAAGTGGCCATTCACCACAATGTATGGCTGGCGTTTCGATGCGGTGAGGGACTGGCTGTTGGGCACTGGAGCAGTTCCTTTGAGCCATCAGGGGCTACATCAGTTGGCTTCTGGAGTGTGGACATAGCAACTGGCAGCCTTTTTGCGCGAGGAATGCAGGAATGTCTGCTGCGGGCTGTCGCACTAAACAATGGTCAGACGATGATCCCTTGTGTTCTGAGGCACCCAGTTCTTCATGGATCCTGGCATTTTGGGATGGAGCATTTGCCAGCTATGTCCCCAGATACTTTATGAATGTTTTGTCTGCTGGGACCATCATGATGAATGCACTGATGGTGGAGCAAGTTCGACAACAAAGTGGCACCAGGGGTTTGGGGCGCTGCAGTGGCTACCCTATTTGCCTGTCCAGGTACCCAGTCCTATGGATAAATATAGGTGCTTGGTGGGGGAGTAGTCCCTCAAACATCGGGTAATTCTGGATGCAGAGAGCCCCAGCATGGCAGCTACCTGTTTCTTGAATCAACAAGCTTGTTTTTCTGATGCAGTCAACATGTACACGGGAACATGTGCCATACTGCAATAATGGCTGACCGCAGTTGTGCACGAATGTAGTGGGGCTCACACTGTGGGACCTCGCAACAAATGCATATCCTGTGCATTACATGTTCTGATGCAAATTCCTTTTGCACATTCCTTCTGCATTGATGGACAGTGAGGGCTTCTGCTATGAAAGCTGGCTTTTAAAGCATGCGCTTGCCTTTGCCAATCGACACCACAACCATGCCACGCTACTGATTCACCCATGCATCTGAAGCACCTGATCGCATGTTGTGCTCTGAGTGCACATGGCACTCCACCCAACGTGGGGCACGTCCATCATTCACCACCAACATCCACAGCACCCCATCATGCAAGCCGCCTCTTGTATGCTGTGCGCTGGATCGATAGACTTGTCTCAGCTTGCGGCCCAAGGACATGGGCCCATGTTGTACTCTAGGCCAAAGATCGAAGCACACACCAGTAGAAAACGACATGCTTGCGCTGCAGTGCCGTTTTAGACTAATTGATGCCATAACGCCTCTTTTTGTGCCATCGCAATAACGCCACTCTGTGTAGAAATGGCATGAGAGTTGGCATCGAAAACATCATGTTTTTTTCGGATAGTGATAACATGTCGGCGCCTTGATAACCACGATCCAACATTATCTCGGGTTCCGTTGTCTATGCTTAGGACAGTGGCGTCCGTTGCTGTGATTGAGCTCCACCCTGGTGCATAGCGGCGACAAGTTTAGTCACGTTGGACACAAGTCGTGTACACTATATATGCATATCCAGATTATGGCGATATCTTCCCATCATGTCCTGGACTTCAGGATACAGTGGCGCCATGTCCTGGATATGGAGCGTCCATATCCAGATGTGCTCAGATCTTGAGAGTACGCACATCCAAGATCTGGCGCCCATGAACGTTCGATGTCAGATATCGAATATCCCGGATTCGGATTGTTAGATACGATATCCGAAATTCGGATATATGTTTGGATATCCGGGGTTCTGGGCTGTGGCGCTTTTGGTGATCGAGCTCATGCGGCAAGCGGCCCAGCGTCCAAGAATTCATATCCAAACCAAGCAAATGAGTCCAACAGAAGTCAAGAAAATCGCACAACATGACCAAAGCATTCACAGTGTGCACGAGTGCTCCACACTGCAAGTCGCACAAGCCTCATCGACAGATTACCAGGGCTGCCACACGTGAGGCCCTCACCCCTCATGTGTTCCGACATCCACGTTTTTGGCCTCAGTCTAGTAGCCAGCGAATGGACCCGATTACCTCTTGCTCGCCTGGAGCGCTGGCACGCCGCTCTGCACATCGTCAGCACTCTTGACCTCACTTGCTAGCATGCCATGTCTCTGTGGGATGCCGTTGACCTGCTATCATCTGCATATACTCCCTTTGATATGGGTCCAAGCGAGGACCACGCGAGGGCTGCGTGCGAGAGAGCACAAAGTCCAACGAGAGGCGTTACAGAGTGTGCTCCGCGCACACTTAACCTGTAGATCAACGTACAATTATGTATGATAAAATATATAATGTACAAATGTTAATGTAGTGCTGTTTTAATGTATTACCAGCCAATGTAAGTGGTGCCACCGGCACCACCCTTCCCAAAAGTCGTATCTGATCTCGAGTTCTTGCCCCAGCTTGGTAAGATCAACTCAATCAATCAATTTGCCACCATGTTGGATTCTTTGGTTGATTTTAGGCCGATGTGGATCTTTGCTATGCAAGTCATCACCATACAACATGACATTTACAAATTCTTCAAGAATGCCCTGTGTTCGCAATATCGCATAATGACCACGATTTTACTGGGTGCATCACTTATGCATTATGGTGTGCGCCTTGTATGCACTCTAAGAATGTGTTTTATATGCCTGGCATTCTGAATCTATTAAAAGAAGAGAAAAATGTATTCTAGAATTGACAGAATTATTGCTCCCGTGATGTGACTTTTGTGAGCATGAATGTGAGTGTTGTGGGAGATGCCATCTGATCAGAGAGAAATACTATGGTTGAGGTTGCACTCACGATTAAAACATTTCTATGTTGCTTTGGGCACCTTTGGCATATGTTTTATGAAGTGGGTTGCATTGTGGCGATGAGTGGGCATCTTCAAAGTGTCATATGGCTGGTTTGTGGTGGATGATGGTCGTTGTCATGTGAAAAGAAAAGTTCTGTGGGTGCAAAGAGATTTGAGTTGTTCGGTTGCAAGGGTCGTTGCCACCATCAGCAAGGCTCATTGTTGTGGAAAGGGTGAACAAATATGTAAGCCTTGGGCGTTTGTGTGTGGTGTGGCCTTTCGTCTGTTTGTGTGCCAATGCCGTTGCAACATCGGCGATCGTGGATTCGCACTTCCCGTGTGCACTCCAAAGGGGACCGTTTGAATTGCATCGACGGCCTTTTCTTCAAGATCGTTTTGGAGCGTCGAGGCAAGTTATGGGGCAAGATGACGGTGGCTAAGGTGCAGAAAAGTCTACAAGAGCCGTTTGGGGCAGTTTGCGCGTTGATTGACTCGGACTTCGGTTAGCAATCGGCCATAGCGTTGGACGGGTGGAGTTGCATAATTTGCGCTTGAGCAAGATCTGCGGCTGGCAAAGCACGATTGAAGGCTGGGAGACGGCGGGGGACAGCGCAGCAACGTCCTTAGGATAGCTCAAGGCTATTTGGACAGCGATTGACCCGTCGTTCGGCGGCCACCGCCCAATTCAGCGAATAGGTGCAGGTGAGAATCCCACAATTTGACCTCATTTGCGGCTTGCAAAAGATGTCTCAGTGGAGCCCGACTGTGGCGAACGGGCGGCCAGACTCCTGTGAGCAGCGGGGAGCCCTTTGCAAGCGATTTCTGGCAACTGCAAGTGTGGATCCATGGGTTGGTGCTGGCTCAACATTTTGCAGTGAGGTGGTGTTTCTGTGGGGCATGGACTTTGGCGAGGGATTGCGCAACGGGGAGCCCGCCAAGGAAGCTTGCAGCATGGCGCAGAGCTTTGCACGAGCCTCTCAAGACGTGGCTATGGCCGGCGCTTTGAGTGAGGGCAGTGCCAGGAGCTTAAGGGGGCCCGAAGCAGCGGATGGTCATAGGCGCAGAGCCGCAGTGCGTGGGACCTCTCCCCCACCGATTGGGCTCATTAGTTACCGGAGGTCGGGCCACATGAGGTGGAGGTACAACTAATGGAGCTGCACTTGCGTACAGGAATGCAGAGATGATAGATTCGGTGGTTCCCGAGGCTGGCAAAAGCGCGTAAGTTAACCCAAAGAATTTTGATGGGCAGCCACCCTCCTGTAAGGGTGTAGCCATGCAAATTTGTGCGCGTGACCAGGGCGAGGAGGTCACGAGTCGTGCTGTTGTTCGATTACAGCTCAATCTGTTCAATTTATTGGCCACCACTGTAATCGAGTAAAATGATGGTGGGAAAGAGTACGGACGTAGTCGGCCAGTTTTCCCTTGACACGTACAAAGATGGCTGGTTTTGTTAGTCCTGTCACTGCTCTGTACTCAAGAAAAAACGTGTGCGCAGTCAGCTACATTCCAGTACGGTTGACTCAAAGCGGTCTAGGCTTAGATGTCCCCTATTCTGTGAATCTGCGATTGGGATAATCAGAGCCAGCCCAATATTTATAATTTGGGTCATTTTAAGACCAGTCGATGGGCAGCACGATCAGCTGCGGCTGCGCTGTCATTTTGCCAAGGAAAAGGGCAGGAACTAATCTGGTTAGAACTTAGATTGACGGGAGGCATTACAGTTTTGAGTCACACATTTCCAGTACACAGTTTGGAAGCTATGGGTACATCAGACGGAAAGAAAGGGACCGTAGAGTGTACAAGCCCAATGGAAAGAACCTTTGAGAAAAGGCTGGCCTATTCGCAGGAGCCTTTGATTGACTTGCGCAGAGAAAGAAGGCCAAATTCTGGCCCCTTTTGAGGAGACCATGGACCGTAGGGGTTGTCCTTCAATGGACCTGAACTGTTTCAAAAGGTCCTAGGACGTTGACAGGACAGGTACTAGCAGGGTAGAGGGGTCCATTGAGGCGTGATGCGACGTTGTGTGCGGCTGCTGACAGTACATTATGGTTTAGCGACTGTACAGGCGATTGCCTGTTTGGCAATTCGTGTACTGTACTGTGTCGTACACGTTCGGCACATCCCCGCATCCTGCGCCCCCAAGGCCTCCGCGCCCCGTGACCTGCCGCTGGTCCCAAGGAATGCGTAGGGGCCATAGGGCCAATTGGAGGCCAATGAAAGTACTGCCCGAATGGCACTATGAAATTCTGTGGATAGGGCAGTACAAGTTGTGGTACGTTAGTGGGAAGGAGCGTGAGCGCCAGTGGGAAGTTCTGGTTTGATGGACTGTTTGTGCAAGGGGCACTGGGGCCTTTCTTATCCGGTGGTCTGTTGGAATGTCCAAGGGTCGTTGAAGTGGATGATGGAGCTTGCGGGGGTATTTAGGAGGGGCTGTTTGGGGTGTGAGTGCCCCCCCTCCTCGCTCTCTCTTCCCCACAGACCCGTCCGCCTTCGGTTCTGTTCTGTCTGGACGGTTGGTGTTCAGAGGGAGGCAGTCATGCTGTGATCGTGTGGGGGCCGAACGCAGTCGAAGGGGAGCGATTTTGTAAAGGGCACGTTTGTTTCTGTGTACCCTTGCCTCTTGACCCTCCGGGTCGGTTGCATTTTGGGTTGTGCACCGTTGCGCATACCCACAACTCGACGTTGAGCTCCGTTTCCATCTCGTTGACTGAC